AAAAAATCATTTTTTAGTAATGGTTTCCATATGAAAACAAAGTGCTCCGTGCTGTGTGAGTCACTCAGTGTCCATCCTCTGACACCTCTGAAATTCTGTCTATGGATTTCAGGAGATCAGCCACGAGCTGCAGGGATTCTGCTCCAGACAGCAGCTGCCTGAGGGAGAGAGATGCAGGGTTACACGTGGGGACAGGCAGCCAGGCAGCTTTGGGGGAGTTTCCCCACATTCTGTGATTTATCAAGCAGCATTTTATCAGGACTGGAAACTCCCACTTCCCACTTATGTTTACACTTGAAGGAAACACAGAGCAGCTCCTGCGGCACAGAACACAAACCCCTGAATTTTACCCCCAAAACCCCCTGAGAAGGTTTATCTGTGTGTCAGGAGGGGGTCGGTGGGGCTGTCCCAGCGCAGCTGACCTGATGGATGCCCTGGAGCTGGCTGTCACCCGCAGCAGCTGCTGCAGCGCCGCCTCCGCGTTCTGCTTGGCCGCGGCCAACCCCGCCCGCAGCTCCTCCTGCTCCAGCCGGGAATTCCTCAGCTCCGCCTGGGTGAGGGCAGAATCCGTGAGGAACCACCCCGGAACCGCGGCAGATACTCTGCAGCTAATGGTGCATTCCCACAGCTGCTGATGGGCTGGGATGTAACCATTGACTGACACGAGGGAATACAACAAACAGTGCAATAACAGTGCAATAAATAATGCAATAAACAGTACAATAAACAATGCAATAAACAGGGCTGGAGTCCAGCACCAGCTGCCTGCAGGGAGTGTCTGCCCAGAATCATTAGGGTTGGAAAGAGCTCTGGATGTATCCAGCCCAAGCCCTGCTAAGGAAGTGTGGCAGGAACAATTCCAGGTGGTGTTGGGTGTCTCCAGTGAGGAGACTTCCCAAATTCCCTGGGCAGTTTGCTCCAGGGCTCTGCCACCCTCCATAGAAGGAAATTCTTCCTCATTTCAGTTTCTGGCCATTGCTCCTCACCACTGCACCATCCAGGCCCTCCCAGCCTCTGTCAGGACACAACTCCCAAGCCTAAAAACACACCCAGCATTTTCCTCAGAGCCTGCAAAGTCCTTTGCACTGGCTCAGTTCTGACATGTGTCCCTGCAGCCCCAGCAGTGCTGCTGTACCTGCAGCTGTGCATTCTCCTGCCTCAGTTTGGCAGCACTGTTCTCAGCCTTGGCAGCCCTTTTCTGCAACAGAGATTATTGAAATGATAATAATATTAATAATATTAATAATATTTATAATATTAATACAAATAATTATAGCAACTATTATTACACCCTAATACTATTGTATATTATTATATATAATAAAATATAATGCTGCTATACATAATAAATTATTATGTGATTATGCTAATAATAATGACGATCAAATTTATTATTGAAATTAATATTAATAATAGTAAAGATAAAATAATAATAATAATAATAATAATAATAATAATAATAATAATAATAATAATAATAATGATAACCCAGGCAGCCTGAGCCACATGGGAATGAGTGATTCCAGCACAGAACTTGGAGGGATAGGTTTGTGTTACACCACACTGTGTTCTGAATGTTTTAGGACGTAGGAACAGCTCCCTCCTTCCCTTCTCACTGCTCCTTTCTGGGATCTGCAGAACTTCCCCACCCTGACAGGGGAGAATTTCTTCCTGACATCTGAGCTCAACCTAAAGCCAACACTTACAGTCATCAGCTGCAGATTCTGCTCCACGTGCTGCACCATTGCTTCCAAATCCTGTGCTTCCTTCTCTTCTTTGATTTTGTTTTCCTCTAGCTTCTTCTCAAGCTTCCTCATCCTTAAAAAAAAATAAAGGATGGCACACAGTAAGTACTTGTACCATTAAATACTTGAGGAGGGAAATTCTGGGAAGGGATCAAGAATCTCATGGTTTTGTGGAAAATGATTTCTTCTCACATACTTGTCTGCTTGAGTTTCAGACAGAATCTGAAGCTTCTTGATCTTGTTTCTCAAGATAGCATTCTCTTCTTTTAGCTAAAAAAAGAAATAAAATTCTTATCAGGACTTAGATGCATTTTCACAACAACACCAACAATCTAAGATCAATAGCAGAATGTTCAGCTTGAATGCTGGAAATCCCTGTGCTTTCTAATACATTCAAGATGAATTTCACCTTCAGTTTACCCATCTGGAAACCACTGCGGGGCACAGGAATGTGACACTGAACCACCAATGTAAACGTGACTAATTAATGTCCCGACTCTAAATGACCATGGCCCCAAGGGGCAGGAGCACGAGGAAATCACCCGGGTCATGTGCGGGGCAGCAGGACAGGGAAAGAACCGGCCCTGGCCCTGCTGAGCGCGCATTTCCAGAGCCCATTCTGTTCCC